CTACAGATGACGCTGGCCCAAGGGAAGTGAATGCACAGTCGCGACTCGAAGATTCTGATGAAACTTGCTCTTCGGACGCTGTTGGGCCACTACGGTTGCCCCGTGGCCGACGGGAAGTTGGAGAAAATCTTGCCCGACCACGTCGGCGAGATGGATCCGCGAGACTCGCGTTTAGAGCTGAAGTTACACCTCGGGGGACCCTCCGACGAGCCATCGAGCTGGCGTGGCGTAATTGTAGACGTTGAGCTTTTTTGCTGGAGTTTCTTTTGAGAAAGTGAGGGTCAACTTGCAGGATCACAGCCACCCGTCGTTTAAGACTAGGATGAATTGGTTACAAAACGACCATGAATAGCACTTGCAGTAACCGGATGTGTTGCTATTAATAGGCTTGACCTAGATAAATTGATCACGTGACCTACGCTATGCATGCGTGACCAATTCAGTACTTTTGAGCGTGACCAGATGTCAAAATTGACCTGTTTTATGGGCTTCGTGAAAAAACACGGTTACGTACCGCTGTCTCGGGTGTCGTAGATGGTGGTGGGTCTGTACCTGAAGAGTACTAGCCGAGCGCCGCCGCTTCGCGGCGGTGGTTTAATGTTTGGTCACAGTAGCAAGTGCTGCCCACCTCCGCTTCGCAAAGGCGTCCCACTCGAGCAGTTGCCCACAGCATGCGCACAGCCGAAGTGCGATGGGGTTCTCGCCGGCGGGGTCCGGCGGTGGGCTGCCTGGCACCGAGGGCACTCCATTTTGCGTGTTGGAGTAAAATTTAATGTGTGTGTTTGTATTAGAGTTCTAACGAATGGCCGTTGGCCGCCTTCGCTGCGCTCGACAGCATTTTAGCCAATGAGGGCCGCCATCGCTGCGCTGGGCAGCTTTTTAGCCAATGGCATTCCTGTCACACTTTTGACGTTGACAGACGTCATGTTGGTCTAGTTATTTAAGATGTCACCGAATCAATAGCAGCAGTTGGTGGAATGCTAGCATCTGTCTGAGCTGATGAAGTTGCTCTAGTTGGGATCATACTTAAACGGTTATTTTGAATATCAGCACTCCATAATGCGTCCTTATAACGTCCTTCTAATCGATTGCGGATTGCAAGATCCTTCTCAGTTTGTCTTAGCAACGCTTTTCGCTTCGTCTCGCGATGACTAAGCGAATTAAATGATGCGTACATCCTTGAAAATAAACTCTATAGTATTGGCATGAATTTTAGATGAGTGTAAATTAATTTAATTGCCAAGCTGCTCGAGTCTTTCGCGTAATCCTTTTGATTTCGATTGGAACCTTTTCACCGCTCCATTGTCTCAT